TAGACCTGACAGCTGCCTTCGACACTGTGGACCATAGCATCCTGTTGTCACGGCTTGAACAGTCCGCAGGCATCACAGGCTCTGCACTTGCATGGTTCAGGTCCTACCTGACAGACCGTAGCTTCTCAGTGCAGCTAGGTACCTTCTCCTCTGCCAAAGCCCCTCTTACCTGTGGGGTTCCCCAAGGCTCGATTCTGGGCCCCATCCTTTTTCTATTGTACATACTGCCCCTAGGCTCAATTCTCACAAAACATAATATCCCCTTCCATTGTTACGCTGATGATGTACAGATCTATCTGCCTCTCAATCAAAATGCCAATTCACTACAGCCGTTGATGGACTGCTTAGCAGAGATCAAATCCTGGCTGAGCCAACATTTCCTCAACCTCAATGAGAGCAAGACTGAGGTTATCTTTTTTGGACCCCAACCTCCAGCCTTCCAGGTTGATATTCTGGGCTCCCTCAAAAATAATATCCTCCCCTCTGTCACGAACCTTGGAGTGACCTTCAATAGCGCTTTTAAATTCGATAAGCAGCGTAGTCAAAACCTGCTTTTTTTTTTTTAAATACGACTATTGGCCAAGACCAAGTCGTTTTTATCTTTTAAAGACCTGGAAAGGGTTATTAACGCCTTTGTTACCTCGAGGTTGGACTACTGCAACGCTCTGTACGTGGGTATGGACCAGGCGTCAATTAAACGCCTGCAGCTAGTGCAGATTGCAGAACGCAGCTGCACGTCTTCTCACTGGCCACAAAAAGCGTGACCACATCACCCCAATTCTGGCCTCATTGCACTGGCTTCCAATTCGGTTCCGAATTGATTTTAAAATCCTTTTATTTGTTTTTAAAGCAATAAATGTGCTGGCTCCGGCCTATACAGCAGAACTCCTCCATCGCTACACCCCAGGCAGAGCATTAAGGTCGGTTGACCAGCTGCTGCTGCTAGTGCCCAAGACCAGGCTCAAAACCCGAGGGCACCGAGCCTTCGCAGCAGCAGGCCCCAGGCTCTGGAACACTCTGCCCCTCCATGTGAGGTCGGCCCAGACCCTAGGGGGTTTTAAATCTACTCTTAAAACACACTTCTTCTCCCTGGCCTTTTAGTCAGAGCGGAGCACGACTCCTGACTTTTCTCTGTGTTTTTTATATATCTGTTGTAATTTATTGTCTTTTATTGTGAATGTAATAATGTGTTTTTAAGTGATTGTAGTATTTATTACCTGTACAGCACTTTGGCCCGACCAAAAATCGCTTTTAAATGTGCTTTATAAATAAACTTTGATTTGATTTGACCACAATACTTTATATATCTTAGCATATTCATACACACTGCATACATACTGTTCATACTGCTCACAGGCTGCTGTGTATATCTAGTGTATTCATGTGTTTATTCATCATTCAATTAATGATATCTTTTATTCTGTAGATTGTGTACATTACTTTTCACTTTACTGCTTGTTGCACTCCTGGTTAGAAGCTAAACTGCAATTACAATAAAGTTGAATCTAATCTTAAGCAGGAACACATGTATTTACTTAGTACATATCTGACATTACCGATTAAACACATTTGTGCATTCTTTATAAATGCAAACTGGTCAAGACCACTGACGGAAGTAGTTTTGAAAAGTAGTGGTTCTGTCTTTTACATGTAGGATTCAACCCCCCTTGTATTGATTTGTTTTCAAATGAACAGACACTTGAGTCATTCATTTGTAGTGATATAATAAGTGTGGGATTTCTATTGCATCCACTTCATCTGCAACGAAGAACGCCAACGCAATTTTCGCCATTGCAAACCGAGTCAAGCCGACTCCGAGCTGTCCGACTTCAGGCGAGCTTTTTGAGACCTCCCCCGGCTGCAATCGGCTATTCTCGTCTACTTTCGAGGCGAGCCGCAGCTCATCTCAAACAAGCCTAATGTTTTGTGTTAAACTCACAGCCCACTGAGCAACACGGGAGCTTTGTGGGAACATGAAACATAAACTGAGTTTCCTGCAGATGTTATAATCTTTACCTCATTTACCTCAAAACACACTTTATTTGACACAGTCTATAGCAGGAGGCTCAATCTGATAGGAGGATAATCAAACAGCATTTAGTTTAACAAATGGATTCAGGCTTAATCGTTCTTCATGCAGTCATTAAGATGTCAGTGCTGATGCAAAAATAATCTGAATCGGCCGTGGGCTGTTGCGTATTATCTATCCACCTTCATTAATATGATCTAAAAACAGAGTTAAATAAGAGTGAGATGAAGCCAAGAGCTAATTGTCCTACAGTTTACAACTTGATTTTTATCCTGAAAGGGCAATTGACGACCTGCATTGCTTTTCATCTAACTAAAGCTTTCATCCAACTTACATAAGTGCATTCAGTCATGATGAAGATACAAACTCGAAACAGCCAGAGTCCTGCAGGTACATTAACTTTCAATAAACCAAAGCTAATGCACCATGAACTAGAAGCACACCTCCGCCAAGGGCTGTTTCAATAAGTGAAATTGTGTTTATCCGCTTTGTGATTCAGATCTGCTACGAAATAAAAAACCACTCTTCCTTTGCCCATGCTTCACTCTTCCTGTGAGTTTCATGAAAATAGGGTCTGTAGATTTCACTGGGTGGCAGTAGCTCAATCTGTAGGGACTTGGTTTGGGAACAGAAGGGTCACCAGCATGCGTGTTTGTGCATATCTGTATTCGGACCTGATCTGGAAAGGTCCTACGCGTGTGTGTGTGTGTGTGTGTGTGTGTGTGTGTGTGTGTGTGTGTGTGTGTGTGTGTGTGTGTGTGTGTGTTGTGTGTGTGCGCATTTTGTTGTGTGTGTGTGCCGGTGCGTGTGTGATGTGTGTGCATGTGTGTGCATTTGTTGTGTGTGTGTGTGTGTGTGTGTGTGGGTGTGTGTTTGTGTGTGCGCATTTGTTGTGTGTGTGTGGTGAGTGTGTGAGTGTGTGTGCATGTGTGTGCATTTGTTGTGTGTGTGTGTGTGTGTGTGTGTGTGTGTGTGTGCGCATTTGTTGTGTGTGTGTGTGCGTGCGTGTGTGAGTGTGTGTGCATGTGTGTGCATTTGTTGTGTGTGTGTGTGTGTGTGTGTGTGTGTGTGTGTGTGTGTGTGTGTGTGTGTGTGTGTGTGTGTGTGTGTGTGTGTGTGTGTGTGTGTGTGCATTTGTTGTGTGTGTGTATACAATAACGAAGTAGAAAACTGAATATCCCTTCTTTATCTTTGCCTTATTATGGAGAGGCATTCGTCTAAAAAATCATCACAAAAACATAACTTCCTTCACCAAGTTACTAACGATCATTTCCTTAATTAACCTGTTAAGCCCTGAGCCTGTTTTTCAGGTCTTAGGCTCGAAAATGACATTCCCAGAACAAATTACCACATCTTCCCTTCTAAAAGGGTTACATTAATAATCTTTTTTCTCAAAGCAAGGATAAACCTGTGAGTTGGATGTATAAGTGTCAGAATCAATATAGATGTTTTTATTTTAAAGTAAATTCAGATTGAACACAGTAAAAAAATGTAAATTATAGTTATTTTTTACTTACTTACGTATAGTGAAAACCACCCTTGGATGATGGGTTAGTAGACTAAAAGCTTTAGGAATCCAAACTATAACATATAATAAGTACCCTGTATCAAGATTGATGCAAAACAAGTGACATTTGACCTTTTTAGAGAGGTTTAGCACAAAAAAACACTTCTGGGGTCATTTGGGTGGATTTTCTATATCTCTGGCCCCCCTTGGTCGATTTTGATGATGGACATCTCTTTTTAACCGTTAGAGCCAATGGAATCGAGGGGAACTCCCACATACACACACGTTACCAAATAAGGAGTGAGAGTGATGCGTAGCCAAAACCGGAAGCTGTGATAACTCTGGTAGCTACCATTAGCAGCTAATTTTTATTCTCAGATTTTTACATAAAAATTGAAATATGGATTATAAATCATTTTTTCAAAGTGACAGACACATTGGATTAACCTATGGATTAACCCTCAGCAGCGTTTATATCGTTTTAATGCCATTGAACACGACTTTTGATCAGATTGACAGCTAAGGTGAGACGATGTCCCGTTTTTGCTCCGTAATGCTAAGTGTTGTGATGTCTGTGTTTGCTTCCCCTGTCGCGAGTTCTGATCGCTCAGTGACGATACTATACCTATAATCTGTGGAGTCTCAGCTTTAATCGGATATCTTATATGTGCAGCTACGATAAGTAATAATGGTATCTTTATCTTGAGTTCTGTGCCAAGTGCGTTAAAATGTTTCGCTCAGGGGTCATTTAGACGCTTCTTATGAGACTTGTGTTTTGTTTTGGTAAAAATGGTTCATATCGTCAGTTAGCTGAGATTCTTCCCGTTAATCTGGTATAACACATTAATAGGTTTTTAAATATTAAGAAGCCTGAGACACAGTGTCGTGAAAAAAAACTACCCGCCAGACCCGGATTAGGGTCCTCTCAGGCTTAACAGGTTAAGTCATCAAAAATAAATGTTAATAAAAGCGCAACTAATACAGATTTCTCACACTGACATTGGATTCTACCCATTCCAATGTTTGAGAAAAAGTCACTCTGTGTAGCTCTGCTTTAACAGTTGAGGCTGCAGATACCAACCATATAATGAGAACCATTAAAAAACTGCTTCTCGAGCGTTTTTTTATTTAGAGTGACAGACCTCGACAGCTTTTGGCTACAGAGAAAGAAGAATGTTTGCGCCAAAGTGCCAAGTACCCACCCTGAGACACTCAGTCTAATTCCCCTGGCTCCACTGTGCCAGGCTCTGTCTCACTGCCTTACATAAAACACACACACATAAATCTTAACACACTAAACTATACGGGCATGCACTTACACGTACAGTTGTAACTCACATATATCTACACATTTTTTACATATTTAAAAGGTACACCATACCTAGTGAGGGACACAGCACACACCTGTCATTACATTCTAGTTAATATTATGTTGTGGTGTATTTTCTGAGATGTAGTTCTCACCGGGACACCTCCAGCAGCAGGAGGAGGCGGCAGCGAGGAGTTTCAGTGGCTGCTATATGACCCAGAGTCCCAAACACACGCTCTGCAGCGATCACATCGTTCATGGTCACCTGAGGTAGAGACACACGAGAAGATATTTGATTGAATTGTAAAGTTACTCCATAAAGACAAAAATAAAGGTTTCAGGACCATGTCGTCAAAAGTTAAAGTCCCTGCACAAAAGGAAAACCCTGTACTGTGTTTTATATAAGGGAAGTTCACAAATGCACAAATGGGGGATGAGACAATACAATCTGAAAAAAAGGTAAGAATCAAGGAACGGCAGGTATACTAATGTTTTTCTTGGATGCCATTAGATCCCACATATTACTCCTTTAACACGAGAACCGCCAACGGGTACATTTTACCCACAGCTGATTCTTGATTGTATGTAACTTTTTTTCAATAAAATATCAAGTCTCCCAGTCCGTGACTTTTCCTGAAAGTGTGTTATGTAGCACCCTCTGTTGTTAACAATTGTCAATATGAAGTCAGATTGAAAAAATGGCCCAACAAATTGCCATTTATACCCATCAGCGCCAGCGGGTAATATTTACCTCATAGAAAATGCAGTGATCTCGCGCAAAAACATAAACATGACGTGTTGCTATAGCAATGCCTGTTGTTTACTGCGGTTCCTTGTAGAGAGAGATAGAGAGATGGAGAGATGGATAGATAGATAGAGATATATAGATAGATAGTTATGGATAGATCGATAGATAGTTATAGATAGATAGATCGATATATAGAGAGACACTTTGCACATAACTCACGGTAGCGATCTTTCATACTACTGCACAAACTAGATATCATATGAAAGCTGAGAGTCCACAGATTATTATGTATGGTATACAGCGACCCCTGGCGGTTCAAGTGTTAAGGACAAGTTTGACATTTTGAAAGATTATAATTTGTTCGCTGGCGTAGAGTTGGATGCAAAGGTTTTGACATGTTGTATTGATTAGACAAACAAGGCATGGCAATTGGAGAACCATACAGATGGCTAGCTAGCTATTTATTCTACGTTTTTTATAAGTAAGGTTAACTCAAGTAGCCTTACATTTACCGGTCAAACGTTAACGAACTAAAGTGGTATCAATGTTTTCATCTGACTCCCCAAAAACATTTTCTCATTCACACTTAGTTGCTTCTAGACTGTTAAACACCTGAACTAAGAACATCCATAACATTCACCTGTTTGCAACTTACAAATTATGTATCACTTGTATATAGACTCTTATGGCACTACTTTTATTTTATTTGTATTTACTTGCACTATTTTATTGTGTTGCACTGTTGGAGTGCGACCTATCATGTGACCTACGATTGTCATCGACATATCTACACTGTAGCTATGTACGAGTGACAATAAAAGCCTTAAATCTTGAATCTTGAAAAAAACATGCCAGTGCATTCCAGGCTCACCTCCTGGCCGTTGATCCTCTGCAGGTTGAAGTGGTGCAGGCGGTAGATGAGGAAGGAGCGCCACAGAGCCAGGCTGGCCACCGGGTTCCCCCCCTCGTGGATGGTCAGCTGGTCCAGACGCCTCACCTGAGCCAGAGCCGCCAGCTGAGGCAGACGACAGATGTTGGTTTCCTGGAAGATCATGTGCTGCAGGAAAAGAAACAGGCTGGTTTCAGCGGAGTAGATCTTTGGTAAATATTCGCTGACATCACAAACTCTGCCACAATACGATTTTTGATTCGATTCAGGGGCTAAATTGACAATTTTTTTACTTTTTAAATACAAATTACAACAGTAAAATATGCCAGATTTGTCATGTTGAATTATTCTTATCAGTTAAGAATCTTAAACTAATGTCGTGTCTTAAAGATGATGGTATGTATCAATGTTATCTAATGGGAAGTGATGAGAAGAGACATTACATTATTACATTACATGTTACTTGTTAGACGCTTTTATCCAAAGCGACTTACATACTCAATACTGTGGGCAATCCCCACAGGAGCAATTTGGGGTGAAGTGTCTCAGGGACACAACGACATGCTGACTGCAGTGGGGTTTGAACCTGTGACCCCCTGTTCCGAACACCTACGTGTAATGTTGTGACATACTATTTAGTCCGGAGTTGTGGATACCCGGAATGTGATATGTGTGACACCAGTTATTAGGTAGTACAGAGCGGGTATAAAGCACAGTTAACGATACTCGCTGTCTCCTGAGTTGTCTATAACAAAGCAAGATACACATACCAAATGACAACACTACACTACGCACCACCCACTGCGCCACACGCCTCCTGAGACAACTGGTCATGAGCACCTCAAAATATCTGCCAAGATCGATGATGTAAATAGAAAAATGTACATTTTTTTAATGTGCTGCTCTAGTCCAGTGTGGTCCGCGGACCACTGGTGGTCCGTGAGCGCCCCCTAGTGGTCCGTGAGTATATTGGTAACATTTCACATTTTAAATAAATAAATACATTTAAGTTTTCAGCACTTTCGCGGGAATGGAGCGAGCTTCGATTGCATGATATAGCCCAGCGCAACACCTTCATCACACATGTTGCCACTTGTTTGTACCATTTTCAGGCGATTTGCAAAAAACGATGTGTTTTTGGATATTTGTGGAGTTAGGTGGTCCGCGAGTGTTTTTTTATTGGTTAAGTGGTCCTTGGTATGAAAAAGTTTGAGAAACACTGATCTAGTCCTACAAGATCTATTGCCTGATTTACGAAATGGATCAGTGGATTCAGTGGATGCCAGAACAAGGATTATTTGAGAGAGAGATGGCCGGTTCCACGAGCCAACACCTCAAAAAGCTTAACTCATTGTGATATGTCAAATACTAACATGATTATTATATTTTGGTCTTCTTCAACGTTATCCAATGGCTCATTATGATTGTTAGAGCCATTTCCTTTCATCATTATGGTTTCAATGTTTGGCTTTATAATATAAAGAGTAAACTTTTAACTATTTGTTTTAGTGAGTCACACTTCATTTTAAAAGATGGTTAATTTAAAGGGGACCTATCATGCAAAATGCACTTTTGTACGTCTTTTATACATGAATACGTGTCCCCGGTGTGTCAGAAAACACAAGCCTCTCTCTTTTCCTCCGTACCCAAATCTCTAAAAACGGGGCTGCAACGGATCTGATCCAGATTTGAATTTGTCTGACGTCAGAAACGAGGAGCTCCGCCTATATGGCCAACTCTCCACCTATCAGGGGAATGGGGGGTTGGGCCACGGCCATTGCCGCTCGAAAGCGCTGGAGACGCTGTAGTACATATGCCAGGCCTGTAAGGTGCGCTGTAGTCTGCAGCAAAAGCAGATTCAGCCCTTACAAAAACAGGGCTGGAAAAGAGCAAATAGAGCGAAATGAGGCATGGCTAAAATGATGTTTGGTATTTTGAAAAAAAAAAACTTCACAGACATGTTTTATATAGGTATGGCCCTACAATATATTATTCAAATATAGTCCACTTTAAGTCTCACTTATTTGTTGTGAAATGTGCGCTGTCAGGTATGACGTGCATGTCTATATGTCTATCTATGGCATGACAATGGAACACAGCTGAGTGAGGGAGTGATTAGACGGGATTATTTTTGTTCCCTTTTGATACGGAGAACTTTTAGTTACTTTGAAGCGAGGAAGTTTGTCATGTGTGTAAGAATACATCTGATGTGATTCAACGCTACAACGATCTCCGCAAAGTTTGTTTGGAAGCAAAGAGAGGCGCGTCATAACCCACAACCCCGATAGAGAAAAGTGGCTATAAAATGTACAAAACGGATTAAATCGCTACGACAATGACAGTGCCCTTACCGATAGATTGGGGAACTTGACCCTAATTCGCGGCAGTGTTGGTATGATGGCGTCAAAGTTGATGTAGCGGAAAGTTATAACAGTGACAGCGCTGGCGGTCTGGACCCCCCAGCCTCGCTCCAGGGCCTCCAGGGCTCCGGGGCCGAACAACCGCAGCGTCTCTCCGTCCAGCTCCGCCAGGTGACTGTCGGAGAGAGAGAGGCTCTGCACACTGCCCGCCTCCACCAGCCTGCAGAATATACACAGAAACACACTTTGTTAACCAGCCCTGATGAGCACAAAATACTTTAATAGTAATAATAATAATAAAGCTTTATTTATATAGCACTTTTCATACAACACATGCAGCTCAAAGTGCTTTACAAAATGACACATCACAAGTTCAAAATAAACAACAAGAAATTCCCCTCAGATTACTTGTTAAGAACTTTACAGGAAAATATAAAATGTAACAGGTTAATCGACACAAGGAGGTCAAATGTATGATAATACAAATTAAATAAATAATGGTTTCTCTAACAGACACAAGACAACTGAGTCAATCGCAACAATATAAAATATAAAACCCCCTAAAACAAAGTGAACATATAGGTACAACAGAAATGAAAAAAAGGTAATAGTAATAAAATGCCATAATTCTAATAAAGGTTAAACGATTAAGAAATAACAAAAGACCAACACAAAAATATATATTGCTATTGAAGCATGTTAGATTAATCAAATCAGATAAAATCCTTTAATAGTGACCGTTTATATACAGAACCGGGGCGGTGGTGAAGTCGATAGGGACTTGGCTTGGCAACTGAAAGGTCACCAGTTCAAGACCAAGTGCTACCGAGGTGTCCCTGAGCAAGGCACCGTTCCCTACACTGCTCCCCGGGCGCCGTTCAAAATGGCAGCACACTGCTCCTAACACAGGATGGGTCAAATGCAGAGAAACTATTTCCCCACGGGGATTAATAAAGTATATCAAATCAAAAGAACCAAAAAGGCCACGAATTACAGTAAACACAACAACCGGATTAATTTAGTAGTACAGCCTGAACAAATAAACCAGTGACAGACAGGGGATATTACACTCAATTATATTTAATTGACACATTACTCTTTACATACCAAACGAGAACCTCCATGCACCTCAAATTAAAGCATTCCTTAATGAAATGTCAAGGGGAAATGTCAAGGCATAAAATGGGAAGGGGAGGGTGTATTAAAGCGGACATATCGTGCTAACAAACACACTTTGTTAACCAGCCCTGATAAGCACAAAATACTTTAATAGTGACCGTTTATATAATGTATCAAGTTCTTAGGCCACAGGATATCATAGTTCTGACTTGTGGGAAGACCCAATACTCAAAAAAAGGGGGGTAAAAACTTGACAAAGGTATATTCAAATGAAATAACATTGCATGGCAGCAGGTGATTTCTACCCTTATTATGTCTCGCCCGGTCCACTACTGACTTGATGATTTAATAGTATACAAACTCGGCATTAAATAAGCTGTTTTTATCCAAACTTGTAAACTTGGCGACACTAACACCTGTCTTAATTAATGAAGTATAGCATAAACACAATAATACAGTAGCAAACAAAAAATCTTAGCATAGTCCACATTTGGAAAATATATGCAACATTTTACAAAAATGATTTTTACAACTTTTCTAATCTGTTAGGCCAACGTTAACATCTATTTTCAAATGTAATGTGTGCTAAAGTGGCTCTTATCGCTTTGCTCACGTGTTTGATAAAGCTTGCATTGTGCCAAGAGAAAGAAAAGCCACTTTGCAACAGAACATGCAAGAGTCTAGCCAATGTCCTATTTGTCCGGCGTAATTGCCTTCTATTCTTCAGGACAGTTGAAGTGCCCTCCCCTGATAAGAGAGTCGTGAGAGTGGGGTTACTGGGCGAGTCTGAAGGAGACGTTAATCTCCCTGTGTGTGCAAAGCCCTCTGGATCAGGAGGACATCAGATGGCAACACGCTACCCAACTCTGATCATTTTGATTTCAGCACGCCAACAAGCTTATCGCCCCTATTCATATTTCACACCCTTCCAATCTGTCCGCAGCAGAACGCCACAGTGGTTAGAGGACTAATCCTTTGATTGCAGAACTCAAATCCAAGATTCTTGTTGAGACCAATTTTTAGAAAGTGTGTTGGAGTCTGTAGATAAAAGGTGGACACATCAGGAAACAACATAAAGCTGCTCTTTGTTTGGAAATGAGAGGTGACCCCTCTCTGTACCGGACACAAGGAACAGTTTATCATCATTTAGCAGCAAAAAGAGCAGACAAACAATTTCAGTTCAGGAGAAACATCAGAGAGACAAAAAGGGAGCATGCATAGAGACAGAGAACTTGCTCAGCACAGATGAGTTTGCAAGTAGTCACTTTCTCTGATTTATCTTCGTGTAAAAGACAGGTGAGTGAGCCTCAGGAGACGGGTTAGTGCTACAGGACCAGTTCAGAACACAGCTGTAAGCCTCTGGGAACGTTTTGGTGTGCGTGTGTGTCTGTGTGAGGTCTGCTTGTAAGAGTATACAGTGTGACATAACTCAAAGTCTTTTTTTGAGGCCAAGAGTTTAGTCAGTTTGAAATACCCTTTGGGAGCTGCGTGACAAAAAAGCCACAAATTACAGTAAACACAACAACCGGATTAATTTAGTAGTACAGCCTGAACAAATAAACCAGTGACAGACAGGGGATATTACACTCAATTATATTTGATTGACACATTACTCTTTGCATACCAAATGAGAACCTCCATGCACCTCAAATGAAAGCATTTCTTAATGAAATGTCATGGGGAAATGTCATGGTATAAAATGAGAAGGGGGGGTGTCTTAAAGCGGACATATCGTGCTAACATGAAAGTTCACTCGTGTAAATAAAGCTTTAATGTTCAGAAAACATATTATTGTTCTTGTTACTTCTTTGTAAATACACCTGTCTCTTTAAGCCCCCTGCCAAAAAAGTACCTCCTCTGAGTGGAGATACTCAGAGGGGGGGGGGGGTTATTGTAATCAGTCTGCAAGGGATATTTGGGGAGCCAAATCTGAATAGCTGACTTGAAAACTGACTTTTTTTTAGATGTTTAAGATACCTGAATGTATGTGCACAACCTCGAGAAAGTGAATTTAAATTGTTGTCATCCTTTCTGAATTATTACCAAAAACCACCTGCCAGACTCCGCCTTAAAACACCTCTGATGGCATAGAAAACTATTGCCCCAAAGACCATGATTACAAAACACACATCTGTGAGACCGAAAGCAATGATAGAGTCAAGGACTTGGACAACACACTGCGCTTCCAAGTGCAGCTACAAAAACAACAACATATAAGTATGTGATCTCAAAATATGAGTGCAGTCTTTAAGATAATGAAATGTGCATTAAAACAGATTGATTAAGAGCAGCTGTGTTACTTTATAAACATTAAAGGTCCCCTATGATACTGTTTTTCATCAATATCTTATAGGTCTCAGATATATACAGAACATGTCTCTGATTGGCTGAAACACCAAACAGATCATTGCAGCATTACCCATAATCCCCTCTGTTTCAGCCCTGTTTCCAAAGTGCTGATTCTCTGTCTGTTACTTTAGATGAAAATAAGGAGCCCCTCCCCACGCCCCTCTGAGAGACATTTGGTTACAAAGAACACAATGGTGCTCTAGGAGGAGATTCAGGTGATAAGGGGGGGGGGGGGGGGGGGGTTACCTTGGTTGCTGATTGGCTAATGGTTACTCAAGCCAACACATCGTTATGACATCATAAAGTGGCCAAAATCTGATCAGCTCATTTTCAGACAGGTTTTTTTATAGAAATGGATCAAAAAGAGAGAGAATCTTTGTTCCTGAAACTTTCAGAGTCTCTTTCCACAGAGGGGACACATGTTGACGTAGAAGAGACATGAAGAAGAGGGGACACATGTTGATGTAGAAGAGACATGAAGAAGAGGGGACACATGTTGATGTAGAAGAGACATGAAGAAGAGGGGACACATGTTGATGTAGAAGAGACATGAAGAAGAGGGGACACATGTTGATGTAGAAGAGACATGAAGAAGAGGGACACATGTTGATGTAGAAGAGACATGGAGAAGAGGGGACACATGCTGATGTAGAAGAGACATGAAGAAGAGGGGACACATGTTGATGTAGAAGAGACATGAAGAAGAGGGGACACATGTTGATGTAGAAGAGACATGAAGAAGAGGGGACACATGTTGATGTAGAAGAGACATGAAGAAGAGGGGACACATGTTGATGTAGAAGAGACATGAAGAAGAGGGGACACATGTTGATGTAGAAGAGACATGAAGAAGAGGGGACACATGTTGATGTAGAAAATACATGAAAAGGTGGATTTTGCATAATAGGTGACCTGGTATTGAAGAAGGTTGCAAAGTCAAAAGACACTTGGTGGTAATAGAAGGGGAGGCACCAGACACTGAAAGGCTGCTTAATCATCAGGACACGCCACGCCTCCTCGTGTTAAAGTGCTGAAGGCAGTAAATCAGGACAGCAGAGCAGGAGATGGAGCGTAACGTGTACACAAGCCACGTAAAGAACGAGAGTCGCTTGTGGACGCCTGCCACCAACACACTGCACTGTGTCATGTATTGTTGTCCCATAATCACAGCTGAGACGCTGCCAGGTGGCCCTGAACACAACAGCAGCTAACAATAAGAGAGGCGGGGAAGACCTGACGAAGCGTCTGTCACGATTACATGGATCCTAGACTCTTGTAATTCAATTAGGGAGGTCTCACTTAATCCTACACGTTTTTAAAAGGGACATCTGTCATCTCTCACAACTTAATCCCCCGAAATATACGGTTTATGACATACATATGAAAGATTACTTTCCGAGCAGTCATTTCAAAGTTATTATGATCTGAGTCGGAAAAGTCTCAGCTGTGAAGAGTACAATTATTCAGAGACACAAAATAAAGTCAGATGATATACGTTAACGTTGTAAAATAACAAATCTAACTAGAGAATGCAATTCCTGAAGAAATTGCTAGTGGGAATGCTTCATGCTGAAAAGCTGACGCTAAATTGCTATGCTGAAATGTAATGTGTAAGAAGAAAGAGAATAATTTAGATTGAAATGATACATGAACACTGGGGGCTTGAATGTGTGATGAGAGAAGAAAAGAAAGTAAAAAGGCTTGGAAAAGCAGCAGAATATTTGAACTGCAAACTTTTGAACTAACTTGATG